CACTTCTTACCTTTAAATCTAATTCATCTAATATTGGTGTAGTTTCATGAACTTCTTTTGCTTAATGTTTTATAGTATATCTTTTCCCATTGTTTCATCTTTAAAGACTTATAATTAAATTGCATATTTTTAAGTAAATTTATTTGTTTAAATGTTATCTGCCAACATTAATTACCCGAACTACTAATTTATTTAATTTTTATTTGTATATTTATTTCATTTAAATTAAGAGTATAATTGAGTTTATGTATACCATCTTACTATTTGCTAGCAATTTTGAGATCCTTTTTCCGTCCTTTCTCGACTGTTTTGGATTAATTTTAATTCCATTCACTATATTTTAGTGGCTTTCCTAGAAATTATATGTTTTTATTTATTTAAATATGATATTAAACATTACTTTTGCAACATCTCTAGAAGCTTATTACTTTAGAACATCTTAACTTCATTATCAGTTTTACTTTTGCATTACTGCTATATTTTACAATACATTGTATGAATTATATATAGTAAAAATATATTTTATACTCCACAAGCCGTTAATTATTGTTTTGGGACCTCAATATATTCAATTCACTGACATATTCACCCTCTTTTATCCTTCCTGTGGTCTTGATTTTCTGTCTGAGATCATTTTACCTTCGCGTGAAGAATACCCTTCATAGTATTACTTTTAGCAAGAGTTTACTGGTGTCAAATTTTCTTAGTATCTGTTTGTCTGAAATGTCTTTATTTTGCTGTTGCTTTCATGCTTCTCTGGATTTAGAATATCAAGTTGGTAGTTGTTTTCTTTCAGCATTTTGATGATGCTATTCCACTGCATTCTAGTCTTATTAGTTTTTGTTAGTAAGTCAGTGATCGTCTTCTCAGTGATCCTTTGAAATTGACAATTTCTTTTCTTCAGAATGGCATTTAAGATATTCATTTGACTTTGGCTTTTTAGCATTTTAGTGTGATGTTCCTTAGTATGCCTTTCTTTGCATTTATCCTCCTTGGTGGTGTTGGCAAGGCTCAAATCTATGGATTGATGTCTTTTTCAGCTTTGGAAAATCTTCAGCTATTATTTCTTAAAATACAGCTTCTCCCACTATTATTTCTCCTCTCATGTTGGGACTCAGTTTACACATAAGATCTTTCCACTATGGCTGAAATGCCTTTCTTGAGAGAGAGAAACAAAGAGAGAGAGAGAAAAAGAGAGAAAGAGAGAGAGAGAGACAGAGAAAGATCTTTCCTACATTCCCATTTCCAGTTCAACAATCCTCTCTTACTGTGTGTCCCATTTGCTGTTAAATCCAATTATTGACTTCTTAATTTCAGTTACTGTATTTTTTATCTCTAGAAATTCCATATGATACTTTCTATAGATGGCAGTTCTCTTTTCCTTCTTTTCTCCTTCTTGTCTTCTAGTTTTGAACATGTTCATCAACATTATTTTAAATTGCAGGAGAAATAATTCCAATAGCAGAATCACCCCATGAGTTTGTTTCTATGGTCTCCCTTCTCTCTCTCTTTCTTTGTCCTGCCTTTTGGCATTCTTATTCATCTCATACTGAAATATAGATGTTGTATTTTTAAATAGTATAGAAGTTCTGGGTGCTTTTCCTCAAAAGGAGGATTTAAATTTGTTTCTATCTGGCAGTGAGAATAGGGGCAAACCACTTTAATCCACTGAGGGATTGAGCCCATTTTAGTCTGGGCTTCAGGTTTTATAAAGCTTGTTCTATTTACAGGCAACCCTTTCTTTTAGGAAGCAGCCTTCAGGATCCCCAACTGAGAATGAAGGCATTTGCTGGGATTCCATCTCCCTCGCTGGCAGGCCCTGACCTCCCAGTTCTGTAAGACTGCTGAAAGCACTCCTTGGCTTCTTCAGCTTTATACAAATCATGCTTTTGATTGTGTCTCATACAGTCAACCTTGTACTGCTTTGAAGGGGCAAAATTTTTTTAAGGGGAAAACGTGGTGCTGAGCAAGACATTTCTCCAACTTTTCCTGGAGGACTTGCTAAGTCCCAAATTCCAATTTATTTTGCTCTCTTGCTATGTGAACCTGCCAAAAACTCAACTCAGGGTCTCCCCTCCTGAACCACCAGTTTTTGCTCAATCTCTCTCTTGGTGCCAGTTACTAATCCATAAAAGCCTTGAGGGAAAAGAAGTGCAGAATATGGGGTTCCTCTAATGGCTCTGCCCTGCTTTACAGGATCATGGCCTCTCATGTCCTGCAGGCTGACAGCTCTCTCGTTTCTTAAAACAGCTTTTTCAAAAGTATACAGCTCTTTCAGGTGCCTTTGATAGGAAAGTTGGTCAGGTACATGCTCATACCACAAGTAGAAGTCTTTGAATATTTTGATTTTGCATATTGATTAACAAGCGGCCTTTACATACCTAAGACAATTTTTATTTGAAGTATGTGGTTTTTTTCCTATTTTGTTCAAACTCCTTTTTGATTTACAGGAGTATGTCATAAGTTAGTTGTCAAATATATTATTAGTCTTTTCTTTTAAGACTTCAATTGGTGCTCAGAAATAGTTATTTTCTTGCCCTTTTCCAGACATTTTTCTATTTTTTCCCTCTGGTTTATTTTTATTTACATTTAATTTTAAAATTTATCTAACTTTAATTTTGTTGCATGGAAAGTTAGGGAACTTCCCTCCCCGCCCAATTACTTAACTATTTGTTGAATAAAACACTTCACCCCCCCAATTATTTAACCATTTGTTCAATAAAAATTCTTCCCCAGTGCTTTGGAATTTCACCTTTATCAAATAGTAAATTATTATATAAGTTTAGGTTTTCTTTTGAATTCTCATTAATCTATTATTACACCTATAATATGCTGTTCTAATGACCGAACTTCAGTAATTCACTTTACTACCTGATGGTTCAAGTACCTTCTCATTGCTCTTCTTTGCCAACTTTATGTTGGCTGCTCACATCAGGACTTTTTTTGCCTGCATGTCAGAAGTGATTATGGTCTGGTCTAAAGCAGTAGCAGTGGGGATATAGAGCAAAGACAGAGTGAGTGGTACTGAGTATTGCCATCTATAGGGCCTAATGGATTTAACAGCTAGAGAAAAAAAAAATGGCATCTCACATGATTCTAAGTCTCCCGGCTTGGGAAACTAAGAGAATAGTAGTATCATTAATTAAGATTGAGAATACAAAGAAGATTATCACAGAGGGAGCAGCATCTGTCCCGAGAGCAGAAGCAGTAATTGTAAGAGATTGGTGATAGGAAATGGCTGTTTGGCTAGTAGGATAGAAATCTGACTTGGGAATATTAAAAAAAAAAAATAAGTGAAATCCAGCTTACATTAGATATCAAATGAAGTTTATTGTGGCATCAATTCTAACAGATTCATGAGTTTTAAGGAGCAGTCCACAGAAGCTTCTTTCATACATTCAACCACATGAAATACACTACTAGGCTGTAAACTGTGGGGAGGGGTATGGAAGGCAGACAGATCGAGGTTAGGAAATTTTGGACAAAATGTTTCAAGTTGGGAAGTTGAATCTACTGATAGAAAACCTGTTGATGTGGCCAACCATAAATTCTACTTTTATAAAGAAAGAAATAAAGCTGGGCAGATTATTGAAAATGTAAAATAGGATTATGATGAGTTGAAACAGTTTTATAAGCACCATATCAAAGCTAGGCAGTATTTATCTTTCAAGGTCATTTACATGATGGCTATGGAAGAACTCAAATGTCCCCTGACCCTCTGTATCTGCCTATGCACTCTGCAGCCTAAGGCCAAAATAGATCATAAACAAAAGCCTCGAGTTTGCTTACTAAAGAGAACATGCAGCTTCTTGAACATCTTTCAGGTGTATACATACCAAACAGTATTATAATTTTTTTTTTTTTTTGGAAACAGTATCTTGCTCTGTCATTCAGGATGGAATGCAGTGACATGTTCGCAGCTCACTGTAGCCTCCAACCCCTGGACTCATGTGATCCTCCTTCCTCAGCCTCCTTAGAGCTGGGACTACAGGCATGTGCCACCATGCCTGGCTAATTTTTCTTATTTTTTTGTAAAGACAGATTTTCACTCTGTTGCCACGGCTGGTTTTGAACTCTTGGCCTCAAGCAATTCTCCCACCTCAGCCTCCTAAAGTGCTGAGACTACAGGTATGAGCCACAGCCTCAACCTACATTGTTTTACTGATCCTTAAAGAGACTTAGGAACTATCACCTTTAATTGTACATATTCTAAATATTGTTTCATTTACATGCAAAAAAATTAGAGGGACAGGATTTTGAAGAGATCAATGTTCATGAGGTTTCTATGGCTTCCTTTAACCCTGATCCTTTAACGCTTTACCCTCCTAATTTCAACAACAAGATCAGAATTGTGGAATTTTGAACTTGGAAGGAAGTATAAAATTTAATGGAGTCTTCTACTTCATCTCCATTTAGTAACTAAAACAAATAAGAATCAGAGAAGACACAGCTGCAGTTAGTCTGTAAATCAAAAGCAGAACTAAACCCAGAAAATTCAGGTTTCCTAACAAATGACGTAAATACTTTCTACTATAGTGTAGAGATTAGAAGACTCATTTTAACATACTTTATTAATTTGCCATATCATTTTGCATATTCTCTCCCTACCCCATCCTCCTTTAAGATTCAGCAAAATTTTTAATGTGAAGAATAAAAAGTGGTTTTGATACTCTCTCCAGATTATCAGATTTCTAAAAAGAGCTGACACAAAGCACTTTTATAAGCAATTTTAATATAAAGGCACTGACAGTATGCAAATAAGGCACAAAGCCAAGCTTTAGAAATGAACTAGAGAGATAATGAATTCACATGGTGCCATTTTTAAGATTAGACTTTAGTCATGTGCTCTTATTCTTTGTTGGTGGACAAGCCACAGCAACACTGACCTCAGTTTTGCTACTGCAATAGATGCACACCTGGATTAGCAACGGACAGAATGAGCTACTTACCAAGTCTCATTTTTTTTGGCAGTGTCTGTTCACCCCACCCCCATCCTGTTCTACTTCAAAGTCAGAAGGAAATGAAGCCACAATGTGAACAAAAGAGCTCTAACATTTTTTTTTCTCCTGCTGCCTCCCTCCCTCTTCACCGTCCTCCCCACATAGAGCTACTCTACCCCACTTTGGTTGCAGTGTGACATCCCTGCCTGCCCGAGGAAGAAACAATGAGCAGGGACTGCAACTGCAGACAAGTGTCACCCAGAAGCCACAAGTTTCTGTAAGCACCAGGTCTACAGACCACCCAAGGCATAGCAATGGCATTATCACTGGAAGAATTCGTCCACTCTCTTGACCTCAGGACCCTACCCAGGGTTCTAGAAATCCAGGCAGGCATCTATTTTGAAGGTAAGCACTCCCCAAAACTTTGACTGGCTAGAGCATTCTTGTATACACTCTGGAAAACTGGAGAGGGAAATTTTAACAGCAAATATGTGAGTTCTGGTAAAGGAAAAGTGATCAGAAAAGGGAGAAAGTAATGAACTGACCAATGAATAGTCAAGAGCCAATAGTGTTGAAGAAGGGAGAAACTAGATAGAACTCTGGGACAGACAGAAATAAGGAATTGAGTGAAGCTTCTTGAGCTTTCTGTAGGCCTTGAATAGTGAACTATTTCTGCCTTTGCTTTGAAATTGATTGTAATCAAGAATGACAAATTTACTTATCAGTATTTATGTTTCTACAATGTAAAAAAGATTTAGCTTACTAAAACAGAAGCAACTAGCAAAGCCACAGTGCTTAGAAAGAAGTATTTCCAAATATTTCCCAAACTTTTAACTTCTAAATGTTGCTCATACCATTGTTTTTCTCACTCTGTAGTGGCCTAACTCCTAATTCCTTAAATAATGAAGATTTTCATTTGAAAGTATAGAAATTATTGCTACAAGATAATTTTTTTAAAATTTATGTTGAAAACTCAGAGTTCAATTAAACTTATTGAACAATAAGATAATGAGTTTTGGTGTAACTTATATTAATTCAGGGAAAAGAATATTAAAATATCCAATATACAACCCAGAATCTTTACGTAGTTAGTTTGAATACATACAATAAAATGAGCAATTTTCTAGGTGTATTTCTAGCCACCAATAATGGTATAATTGAAGCAACTGTAGAATCAGATCAAGCCAAACTACCAGGAAAATAACTACTAGTAGGCAGGCCTTTCCTGTTCATAGACAAAATAATATATTACGTATTATGTGGCAAAGTAAAAGAAAAATTAACAAATGTAAGCTCCAGTTTTTTTATACACACACACACACACACACACACACACACACACACACACACACACACACATACTTGCAAGTGGTGAATTAATATGGGCTGTTATCAGCTTAGTGTACAGTTTTATTCAATTAATTCATAAGTTGATTCTTGGAATCAGACTATGTTTTGCCATGTTTAATCGTATTATTGATGTCTCTATTTCTAAGCCAGCTCCAAATCATTTTTGTCTCATGCTTTGTGCTTTTTAGCCTTTATGTAAGAAGTCTTTCTCTATGTCCACATTAAAAAGATATTTTCCTATATTGTTTTTATCAGCTTTACAGTTTTATATTTTGCATTTAGTTTTTAGTCTATTCGCAGGACACTGGTATGAATTATGCAGGGATCCAGTTTTAGTCGTCCCTATACAGTTCAGCTGATTTCCAGTTACCATTTGCTAAGCTGACAATCTTTCACCCATTGACATATGTTGCCTCCTTTAAATCATATTATCTATTCTCCTCTCTATCAGTCTGTCTCTAAAATGTCTCTTCTATTTCATTAGTTTACTTTTTTTCTTAATTGCCCCCAAATCACACTATTTTTATAACTGTAGCCTTGGAATAAGTGTTAATATAGAAACAGTGTGTAGACCAATCCCTTGTTACCAATCTTTTTTTTCCTAAATTGGCTTAGATATTCATAGACTTTAAAATTTTCTTTACAAATACATAATATGTATGCATGTTTATGGAATACATGTGATATTTTGATGCAATGTGTAGTGATCAAGTCAGAGTAATTGGAATATTCATTACCTCAAACATTTACCATTTCTTCATGTTAGGAACATTTCAATTCCATTACTCTAGTTATTTAAAAATATATAGTAAATTATTTTGAGCTATAGTCTCCCTATCATACTGCCAGACACTAGATCTTATTCCTTTTAACTGTATTTTTGTACCCATTAATCAGCCAAACCCTCTCTATCCCGCTCCTACTACCCTTCCCAGTACCTGGTAGCCATCATTCTAGTCTCTATCTCCATGAGATCAATATTTTTAGCTCCCACAAATGAATGAGAACATATGATATTTGTCTTTCTGTGCCTGGCTTATTTCACTTAATGTAATGTCCTTCAATTCTATCCATGTTGTTGCAAATGACAGGATTTCCTTCTTTTTAATGGCTGAATAATATTTCACATTTTCTTTGTCTATTCATCTATTGATGGACATTTAAGTTGATTTCATATCTTGGCTATTGTGAATAGTGCTGCAATTAACATATAAGCATGGATATCCTTTAATATACTGATTTCTTTTCTTTTGGATATATACCCCACAGTGGGATTACTAGGTCATATGGTAATGCTATTTTTGTTTTTTGTGGAAACTTCACACTGTTTCTCATAGTGACTGTACTGATTTACATTCCCATCATCAGGGTATAAATGTGCCCTCTTCACCACATCCTCTCCATCATCCATTATTTTTTGTCTTTTTGATAAAAGCCATTTTAACTGGGGTGAGATCGTATCTCGTGACTTTTCAAATGAGTTTCCTGCTAACTGGGATTTTTACTGGATTTATTAATTTGATAGATTAATTTGGAAAGAATTGACATTTTATATTGTTTTAAGAAAGAACATACTATGTCCCTCTATGTGTCCAGATCATCTTCTTTACACCTTATTACTTTACTACTATGTTGTACTTCAATTAAGAGGAAAAAATAGTGAATACTTTGATCATTTTCATAATGTAAACACGTTCATGTACCCATTACCCTGCTCCAGAAATAGAAAATTCCAAGTATTCCAGAAGCCCTATTTTGTGCTCTTTCTCAATAATTATCTACTATCTCCCTCAAGGATAACCACTATTATGACTTTTGTCCATTTATGATCCTTACATAAAGGGAAAATTATAGTATGTATTCTTTTCTGGTTGGTATATCTGTTTAACATTATATTTGTGAAATTAATCCATGCTGGTTTATATAGTTCATTCATTTTCATTATATATGTTATTCCACTGGATGAATATACTACAATTTATTAATTCTACTGCTAATAGGCATTTGGATTATTTCTGGTTTGGAGTTTCCAGTAATTTTGTCATGAAAATTTATATATATGTGTGCCTACATGTATATGCATTAAATAGGGCACAAAAGTAAGTGGGATTACTGTGTCATATTGTATGTGTAAATTCAGCCTTGAAAAGCAATGAAAAACAGGCTTTTTAAGTAATCCAATTTACATTCCTACAAGCAGTATATGTGTGTTCCAATTAACTCATATGCTTAGTAACACAATATTATCAGTCTTCTTAATTTTAGTCATTCTGGCATGAGTATAGTGGTAGCTCATGGTTTTAGTTTTCATCTCCCTGATGACTAATAACATTGAGCACCTTTTCATATATTTATTTGATTTTTGGAGATGTCCTTTTTTTGCAGAGGTGGTTTATATCTCTTTCTCATTTTTCTGTTGAATTTTATAAATTTTTATTATTGATTTGATAAAGTTTTTGTGTATATATATTTGGGATACTTACTCTTTGTCCGTTTTCTGTGATGCAAATGTACTTTCTTAGTCTATAACTTCATATTTAATTTTCAAAATGGTGTCTTTTAATGGATGAAAGTTTTCCACTTTAGTGTTAGTGTAGTCAATGTGTGGTTATTTTTCTTTTTCTGTGTTGTCAACGAAATTTTTCTTTAACCTAAGTTCATGAAAATATTATCTATTATCTTCTAGAAAGTCTCTTGTTTACTCTCACCTTTAGATCTGCAGCCTACCTGGGTTTATGTTTTTGTATATGAAGTTGGGACCAATGCTTATTTTCTTCTTCTATAGAGTCAATTGGTGCAGTGACATTTATTGAAAAGCTGCCTTTTTTCTATCATCTTTCTCTGTTAACCTTACTCAGAAACAATGTCCATACATGCCTGGGTCTTTTTCCATGACTTTTATGCTGTTCTATTCATCTACTTGCTATCCTTACATCAATTGTCCCTGTCTTAAATAATGTGGATATGCAATATCTAATACATACTTTATACTAGATTATATATAATAATATGCTGCAGAGCCATGGTTCTCAAACTTGGTTGTGCATTACAAATACCTGGATCAATTTTAAAATGTAAACACCTAGGATTCCGCTCAAGAGATAACGATTTAATTATGTAAAGGTAAGACATCACCATCAGGTTTTAAAAAATCTTCCTGATGATTATAACACATAGCCAATTTGATAACTACCACTTTAGAATGAGTTCTTTCAATTTATTATTCTCCTTCATGTTTGGCACTTTGAATTTTCACATACATTTTAGAATTAACTTATCAACTTCCACAAAAGTCCTCTTGTAAGTTTGATTAACTGTGTATTGGTTTGGAGAAAATTGGCATCATTTTAAATGAAGTGTTCTCACCCAGTAATCTGGTATAGTTCTCTAGTAATTTAAGTCTATTTCATTTCTGTCAGTAACATTTCATAATTTTTAATGCAGATCTTTTACTTTTTCAGATTTATTTGTTGTTGATTTTTTTCATGCCATTTTAAATGATATCTTTAAAACCATTCATTTTCTCTTTGTTGTACTTATTGAATTTTAAGAATATATCTTTAACTTATTTTGGATATGTTATGTGTACTTTTGTGTTGTCTGAGAATATTGATGGATTTTGCTTGTGGTATAATACTGAACAGAGGTAATAATAATAAAAAAGATCTCCTTATTTCATTCAAAACCACTCAGAGCAATTTTCAGTAATTCACCATTAAATATGTTTGTTTTACATTAAATTAGTTCTAGTTTTCTAAAAGGTTTTAAACACGAATCTGTGTTTGATATTTGTCAAATATTCTTTTTGTAACTCTTATGATTACTTTTTTTTTAACATTAAAAAAGGTTAAACATGCTTTTAATTGTGGAATACGACCAATTGGGTCATATGTCACTGAATTTGGCTTAATTTTTGTTGTTGTTGTTAGAATGTATCTCTTTTAGGGAATTATATTAGCTTATAGTTTTTATTTTTTGTAATATCCTAACCAGGCTTTAGTATCAAGTTAGCTGAACTTATGGAAATTCTTGGATTGAGTCTTTTGTTACTTTCC